ATATATATATATATATATATATACATATATATATATACATATATGTATGTGCTAGAATGCTTCATAATCAGAATGGCTTAAGATAGTTGATACGCAAAGTATATAAGCTCAAAAATCGGACCCGGTTTTCGTATCCTTAATCGAGGCTGCCGCCTTAATTTTTGTGTGAATTTAAATTTCCTTGCCGGCGTAATCTTTCGGAAATGATAATCATACGATGGCGTACTGAATGAGAACGGTATCAGTTTTCCTGGGCTGGACGTCGGTGACGAAGAAGACGATGTGGTGGACGTAGTTTCGGCAGGCTCTGAGGTAGCGGTAAACGAAGCAGCAGTGGATGCAGCTATTGTAGGACTAGTACCATTAGAGAATTCCTGAACAACTGTGGTTTCTGGTGCACTGCTTATGGTTTTGGTACCGGTATTTGAGGTGCTCAGCTGTTCCGCTTCCTCGGCTCGTTGCCATTCGGCCACTGAAAGCTTTACATTTGCACTTTTTTTCCGAGGTAACTGCGCAGCACAAATTGATTTACATAGGGTTTCGAATTTCTTAAGCTAAATTTGAAAGATATTTTGGTAACCTCAGTACGAGGCATCTAAATCATTCGCGAGATAATCCAGATACTGCAGGAACCTATGGCATGAGATAAGAAAACTGGTCTGAAAATTAGTGCACACATAGGCCACATATACGGCAATGGATTGCACACAGAGGTAGACTGCCTTGAAGCAAATTTCATACTATCATCGGTGATGCAAAGTGTCAGTACGCCAAAGGCAAGATTGAAGATAGGCAATGCTGCCTTGGAAGTTGACAGCGACGTCTAACTTGGCTCTGAAGTAAATATATAGGCCACATCTCCGGCCATGGATTGCACACAGAGGTGGACCGCCTTAAAACAAATTTCATACTATCATCGATGGGCTCAAAGTGTCGAACGGGCATGATCGTGCCCGTCTTTCCAGTACGGTTGTGTTGAAAGTTTGTGACGGGTACAGAAAAGCGCGCGCTGGCTGCAATGGAGAAGCAGTGGAGTGAAGGATGCTTGGGATGTCTTTTCGTGACAGCATGTGCAGTAAATTTTCAGTCAGGTAAGCGTAATACAGGATGTCGTTCAAGAGGATTCATTATTAAAATTTTGCTATCCAACCGTAAAATTACGCGAAAAAAGAGAGCTTCACTATCAATTTTAATTCTGACAAACAATTTTCTTTCATATTTCTTGACTTAAACGTAAAAGAATCACACTGACCTTTACTTGCTAACCTTTGCTGCATTCCTTCATCACTTGAAAGCAATGTTCCGCCTGCATGTGCTCTTGGCCCAGTGGTGGCATCATGTGCACTGGTTTTTTGGGCAGCTGCTTTTCGTAATCGTTGTTCGACTATACGACGTACCGTGTCGGAGATACGGACTGAATCGCTATCCGCAATAACAATACGATGCAAATTCCGCCGAATATAGGGATACTGCACTGATTTCACCAGTGGGCCAAGCTTCCTCCATCTAGCCTGTAAGCTGTCAAATTGAAGCACAAATCAGGGATTTGACATAAAAAGAATTTTTTACATTTTAATATTAGTTTTTACTATATGAAATGGAAAAGTCAAGAAGAACTTTACGTAACAGGAGAATACTCATCACCAATATTTCTGCAAACAAATATAAATCAAACCGAATAGTGAAGGTCCCGCGAAGCTCGTGACCTTTGGATTCGATGATGGAAATCACAGCCACTTATACTATTCTGAGAATGCAGTTTTTGACTGTGCTTTAAAAAACACCTGTATCCTGGCTCGTTTCGCTGCGTCAGCATTGGTCATTGATGATATCCGACTCAACAAAATCGGGGTCGTTGTCCTCAGTGATGGCGCTACTGTGGTTGGTGCTATCGTCGTTGGGGGCCGTCGTGTTGGCTGTACAACAATTGCTTGTTCCCACGCGTCGTCGGTATTTTCCGGAAGAATCGGCGACACTGCTCGCAGTAACTCGTTCCTGATTTCAGAGAGATTCTAAAAAATTCACTATTTCAGCGCAGCTTGAACAGGATCTGCGTTTAATGTGAGGAAGACGTTGAAGTTTAGCAACTAATAATTGCCGAAAATTATTTGAACAATCAGAAATTTGAGAGTAATGCTGCATCGAAAATTGAAACTAACAAAAAATACTAGCACGAAACTTCCAGAATATTTTGTCTGCCCAAAATATTACTATAAGTATGTGCAATAATTTTAACAAACAAGAATTTTGCGGAACTGACAGCAGGGTAATGCGAAGATGTTTGAGCCGAACTTCGAAAATATGCTCGCTCCAAAGCGCTGAGCAGGCGTTGTTTGAAACTGCCCGTCCCCAATGTGTTCATTGTTATCAGTGGTTCTCTTCTGGAAGGTCATGATGTGCAGTGACGCCACGCATTCAAAGGCATAGCTGATCAAGTTAGAATAATCAGAATATCAGTTAAAACTTGTCCTTTTGAGCGTCTGCTTACTTCCTTTCATTATTGGTGCTGGCGTGTTGAAGATTTTTCTGAATGTTTTTGAAAAAAAAAAAAAAAAAATGTAGCGCAACAGCACCTATGTCAACTTTTTGAGCGAGCACGTTGAAGAATGCCCGTTCATTCACAAATTCCCCAATAATTACCCAATTAGCAATGCACACAAGGCTTGCCGGTACAGTTATGCGTTTTTAGGCTGAACTTGAAACAATCAGATCGTTAACAGTGTGGATGATTGCTGCTTTACAATTTAATAGGCGATTTTTTGTGCCTTTACAATTTAAAGTATGAATGATTAACAGACAACCTTTTAACAACAAAATATGTTTTTGCATTTACATACGATGCACTAGCGCATAAAAAAATTAACTTTACAATGCATGTATGGACACCAAAGATAAAACTCCTAGAGTGTTGCTAATTTCTTACGGAAATCGAGAATTTTTCTCAAGTTCCTTAAAAACTAAAAAAAAACTTGTTTGACTTGGATCATCGAAATTTCTAAGATACGAATCAGGACTACACCAGTCTTGATTCGTATCTTAGAAATTTCGATGATCTACTTATTCATTTTAATTGTGCATGTTAAGCTTGCTCAATATTAACCGTACGCAAGAGCACAGATTTTTGCCACGCAAATTAATGTGAGACTGTTGTGAGCGAAACTGAATTGGGCTTTTTCAAAGAAACCACAAAAAGCTAACTCTTGCTGTTGTGCAAAAGTTTCTGACGATACAGCAACGCTGGCTTTCAGCGGTTGCAGCCTCCTGATGCTGTTGATGATCAGATGACTGGGCCGGCGACGGTGATCAAATTCTGAGGCGTATTGGTACTGCTGAAAGCAATCCATTTCAGAGATGCTGCACACATTTCAATTCAGTAGGCTTAACGTGGCTCGGAGTAGTTTGTACTGGGCATCTGTAGCAATGTCACTTCAGATGACCATCAAAAATTCTCATCCGACGGCTTAGCCAGAAATAACAATAAACAGTTCGCCTTTGGTCAAGTACTGTGGAAAATTTAGAGATATAAACAGTGAATATCAGTGACCAGGAAGCCGGAGGAGGACGGAGTGCTAAAAATCGTCTATATGTTAAAATATCCATTTGATTTAGCGTTGCTAGTCCATTGTGGAAGAAAAAACACATCAAGAAATGTATGTTAAATTTCTGTCCTCTTATTTGGAAAATTAGTAGCAACGTAAAATTTCAATTTGTTTCAGCAATCTTCAGCACTAACGGATAAAATGCAAAGAAACTGATTCATCAAACAGATTAGTAAATGGATTAAACTGACTGAAAATTTCCACAAATTTTTCCCCGAAAATTCACTAACCGATCTTTTAGGCTCATTGGAATTTTTATGTTCAGAAAGTCATTGCAAAATTCTGCATATAATGTTGTATATAGTACCGCAAAAGTTTTTTTTTGGGAATTTTTCCTTAAATATGTTTCTTGGCATTTGCGTAACAAATCAGCAAAAACCCAGGCTGGAACGCACCGGGCGGGCCCGTGCGATCATGCGTTTTTGCACAGGACTTG